TTTTGTGAAGTTCTGAGGTTTCCTTTAGGAGTTATTGGCTTTTGGCTGTATTTTGCCAGGGACCACATTCTAAATGACCCTGTTGTAGCCAACCAAATGCAAAATTTAAACTTTTTTTGATAATTATTGATCTAGACAGTCCAGAGAATAGGCCTAGACTGGTTTGTGTTCCGATCGGGTAAAAAACCAGGGACTAGTTCGCAAAAGTAGTTTTTGGACAAAATTCGACATAACAACTTTTTTTGGCCTTTAATGCAAATCCGAGATATACATCTTGTCCGTCTTGATCCAGGGATTACAGTGGTGAAAAAAACAAGAAGCTAAGTAAAACAGTATAGGAGTTATGAGCAATTTAGTACTTTTGGTTGCTGTAACGCCACCTATGGGCCAATCGGGCTCATACTCTGATAGGTTCTCCTCAATTTGAGGCCTTACCATCTGGCTGAGTTTCAAGTCTCTGGGCCTTACGGTTTGGGCTGCACGATGCGTTTTAGGGGATTTTTTTTTCTTTCTAGCAAATACAATAGGTTTTTAGCACTTCGTGCTTGAACACCTAATAAAAAATAAATAAAAATAATAATACACAGCTTAAATAGACAGACTTTCAAACTTCATTATCTATGAAAAAAAAAGAGATGTTTTCCTAATTTTCACTTGAACATTTTAGAGCATAATTGAGTTACTGACATAGCTTTCTTATTTTTAACCTGTTTAAGAGACTCAAATATATATCGGTTTCAATTTGAAAAAAAAAATAAAAAATAAAACATGGCCTTGATTTGGAGAATTTAGCTTTGTGAATATGGAATTTACCTTGTAAAATAAAAAGGTTAACAATATTACATACACTTCTATCTCTACAATCAAAATATGTAATAATCTGTTTCCCTTCAATTGTTATTGTATTATTTGTTATAAATGACAAGTAACTTTCAACATTTTTCCAAAATGTAATGCAGAATGAACAACCATAAGAGATGAGGTAATTCTTGTTCTGTCTTACAAAAACTACAAAGATTGTCAACAGGTTTAAATTTTGAAATAAGCAAGCTTATGGGATATATAGTGTGTAATATTTTCAGATGTAATTACCTAACTTTGTTTGAGATATAAAATCTAAAAGGAACAAGCCACGCCCTATGCCAATTAATCTCTTAAAAAAAGAAAATTCCTAAAAAAAAAAATTCCCACGAGGTGTTATTTTCTTTGCATTCAAAAAACATTTTCTGATATGTTTTGGTGTAGGCCTAGTTCGTTTATAGAGATTGCTAATGTGACTTCACCAGTGATGTATTACCAGTGGTGAACCCAAAGCATTTACGAGGGGAAAAAGGCCTCTTTCCGTGGATCGTTTGCTCTGATTGACGGAAAGAGATTTGATTTCGCCAATGCAAAGTAGTTTCCATTGCATTCTTTCGTTCTTTCTGGGTTGAGGTGGTGGTAAGCTATTGTTTTTAGCTGAATACCCTGGTAAATGAATGCCTCATATCATAGATATCTATGCCTCATATGACGGGCCAAAGACTGATTTATTAATGTTCCAAGCTTAATACTCATTTCTAAACACGACTCTTGTTTTGTTTTGATTTTCGTTAGCACTGATATGTTTGCACTGATATGTTTGCACAGTTTGCCAGTTCATCTGCCACTTTTTTATTTTATTTTTCCCCGGGGTGGGGTAGTCATATTTAAGAAGTGATTATCTAAGTTAAAGATAAGGCCATCCTTAAAAATATTTTGGTTTGCAGTAACAGCAATTTTTTTTTTAAAAAGGGTCGGTAGGTAGGTCTATATTTTTTTTTCCAAGATTCAGTGTAAAAAAAAAAGGTACAATTTTGGAGATGGTGATCGCGAATTTTAAAAAAAATGCATATTGTGACGTCACTGACTGGGTCTTCAAACTGTGCATCCACCGCTAGGTGTTAATGCAAAATACGACCAGTTACATTTTAGGCAAGTCACAAAATGTGTAAAATATCTATTTGTTATGCATATATACATGAGATAAGCAAAAACAAGTACAAACACATGGTCAAACAAAGAATACAATTAAACAAAGATACAAATTAGCCTATATACACAGTGCTTTCATTTCAAGAAGGTCTAAAATTAGCTACTTTTCAGTTAAGTCTGTCGCTCTCTCTGAAAAGAAATTTAATTTAGCTAGTAATCAAATGTAAAATGACACTGCATAGTTTATCATAGTTAGATTAATGCTTATTAAAGTTTAAGTTATTCATTCAAGAGCTGTAAGTGATTTGTATCTGCCTTTTGTTGTTTGATTCGCATTGGCTCAATCGTCACGTTTATTAGACTACTGCCCCTTTAAGACCGACTGCAGAACTCTACTGTAATAGATGATGCACCATCATTTTCTCCCAACTATTTACGTCCAATTAAGACATAAACTGTGTTTAAATGAATCTCAGAGCAGGTCATTTTATATTTTATGTATATTTGATGGTTTAGATGCGCACATGAAGCCCAAAATGAGGCGATAGCCTACTTTTCTTGTCTCGTTTTAGTGCATTTCGGAGCGCGCGTCGCGCGTCGTGAACAACGTATCTTGCGCAGACTTTTGTGCCTTTAATAGCTCTTTTAATGATTGAACGCGTCCGCAGTTTAGCAACAGTACAGACTGCATTTTACAACAATCACCGATCGTGCTGATTCTGACGGTACGTTTGGGTTTTAGGAAGAAATGACAGCGCAACGCTGTGAAGGGAAGGAAGTTGCGCTAGACAGAATGCGTCTGTTATGGTTTCATCTCAAATGTCTTCTTTTTATAATCTTTGAAAGCGGAAATCTAAAATACAATTAGAATTATATCCCAGATCTAAAGTGTAACCACGTTTTGTCCTCATTGTCACTCATTAAGCAGGGCTGTCGTGCTGTGCGCGCTGTGGATCCGAGTGAGAGATCGCTCTCTCTTCTGGACTGCGAATAGCAAAATTGCATCACAGACAAATGTTTAATATTTTTATTATATATAGAAATGGTTGATATTCAGCCCGTTGCCCTTTT